GACCAAGACGCGGCTCTATTTCAGCACCGCCGCGGCGCTGTGGGAGGCCGAGTTCTACGTCAAGGTCGACGACGATGTTCATGTCAATTTGGGTAAACAAATTTTTTTAGTTTATATAATATATATTTTCTTTCTTTTTAGAAATATGATTTTTTTCTTTTTCTCTCTTAAATTGGATAGATTTTGAAAAAAAAAATAACATCTTTTTCTTCTTTCTTCAAGTATAGTAATTACTGTTAAATTAAGCTCATATTGGCACTTCTTATCTTCTTCTTAGTTCTTCGTTACTTTATTATTCAACGGAAATTTTGTTCTAATTAATAGCAAAGTTTTAAATATCAAGTCTACAAAATATTGGGATCCCGACTTTATGGAAATAAGTAAAAAATTTTGACAAATAAATTTATGTTTATAAAAACAATTATAAAAAATAATTTTATAATAAATATTTAAATTAACAATTAAATATTTCAATATTTTTAAATGTTTTAAATTATTATTATGAACATGTCTATTGATATTTTGTAAGTTTTTTTAAATGCTAATATAGACGAAAATTTTACTAGGTAATTCTAGAAAATTATAAAAACAGAAAACTTTTATAAAAAAATTATTTAAATTAACATATACACGTTCTGCTTTTTTTAAATAAGTAAAAAGTTCTTATAATTAATATTTTGTGACATTAGTTATATTTGATTTATTTTATAATGGTGAATTTCAATTTATCTATTATGTCAATATCAAATCGATAGACATACTAAAATTCAAGTCAACATGTCAACGTATTGACAAGGTACATTGGTGACAACACTTGGAAGGCATCGATCTAAATCCAGAACTTACATAGGGTGCATGAAGTCAGGTCCAGTTCTCTTTCAAAAGTAAGTGGTTTACTTTCTTTGGTAACAACAAATCTAGCATAATTTAATAAAATATTAAAAAAACAAGTAAAAAACAATTTTAATTAAGTATTAATACAAATTATAATGTGTTTCTATGTTTGTTATGTATTTTTTTAAATGTTTTCAAAATCTAAGTCAATTTTGGAAATTCGAAAAATAAGTAGCTTTTAAAAACATTTTTTTATATTTGAGATTTAGCTAAGAATTAAAATGTGTCTGAAAAATAGATTATAAAGTTTACAAAGAAGCTATCCTAAATTTCAAAAATAAAAAATTGAAAACGAAATTATTATCAAATAAGACGTCAGTGGTTTCAATTATATCAAAAATTACTAATGAGACCTTTTCTTTTTTTTTKGGGTAACGAAAAAACTTTTGAGTAGAATGAATTTTGAAAAGATTAAGGATAAAATTGAAAGAAGTAGTAGATTATATTTTGTATAATTTTATGAAATTTATGGAAGGATGGATGGATGGATGGATGGGCAGGGGATTGAAGTATCACGAGCCAGAGTACTGGAAATTTGGAGAAGAAGGGAACAAGTATTTCAGGCATGCCACTGGCCAAATCTATGCCATCTCCAAGGACCTTGCAACCTACATTTCACTTAATTTGTAAGCCAATCTTCTTATTGGTTTTCTTTTGATAACGTTTTCCTTTTTTTTTCTCTCTCACTTCTTTCTTAACAAAAGTAAAACTGTATTGGATAATTATTTATCTTGTTTCTTAAATTGTTATTAAAAAAATAAATACATATTTACTAATATTTTTTTTGTTTCTTCTATTCTAAATTTTAAATGAAAAAAGAGTAAATTTTATATGAAAATTAATTTTTTTAAATTAAATATTCCATTTTTTATGTTATATTTATTATGCATTTGTAAGTCGAGAATGACAAAATAACGTTTTTCTAGAAAAAAAAATTAGAACCGAGAACAAGAAAAAAAGAAACTTGTTTTCTTTGTTTCCAAAAGTTTGGAAACATCTCTTAAAAATTAGAAATGAAAAATAAGAACAGTTATTTTATGGATGAATAAACAAACCACCACTCAACCCAACCTCCCGCTCTGATATCATCTTAAGAATGAATAAATCACCACTCAACCCAAAAGCTTAAGCTGATGGATCGGGTAAATTTAATTCATTTATATGGATTCTAACAAAGTCTATGTTTCTCCGAAACTAGAAACAAAAGACAAGAAACCATAAACGAAAACRTTATCAAGGGCTTGCAACTTCTCTCCTTCCCCCTTATGATACCTTTTTTCTTTTGGTTTCAGCCCAATATTACATAGGTATGCAAATGAAGATGTGTCATTGGGAGCGTGGTTCATTGGCTTGGAAGTCGAACATGTCGATGATCGTTCCATGTGTTGTGGGACACCTCCAGGTGATTCTAATATTTGATCGTATCATATATACTTCAAATATAGTTTTGTTTTGGTAATTGAAGTTTAACTCCTTTTTAGTAGCTGTACCTTTTAAAATCTCTATTTTTATTTATGAATTTTCATCCCTTCCCCATTAGAGTATCTAAAAGCTTGTATGATATTTGAAAGAAAGAAAAAAAAGAAATTTGTGTTTATTCACATTTTGAAGACTAAAAAACCCTAGTTTCTAAAATCTTGACTAAAAATTTAAAAGTATTTTTTRAAAGGTAAAAAAAAAARGKWWWAAWWRKTTTYMWTWAAAMMAMMRRAMYTTTAGGAGTTTTAAGAATTTCAAACTATAGTTTAAGCCCTTAATTATAAAAGTAATAGTGATTTTGAGACRGTAGGTRGATGATAGAGATTTAAAACTTAGTTCAAATTAAAATTTAAAAATATAAAAATTGGTAGAAATAAAACGAGGGATCAAAATCAAAGTCGTCAAACTTTGAGAATCAAAATAAAAGATGCTTAAATGTTAGGTTAGGATGCAAGTATAGATTAATGGTGCGAGAATACGTTTAATGYGGTTAGGTTAAATATCTATTTTCTAAATACTTTTGAAAAAATACTAATTAATGCATCATTTACAAGTAGTTTAAATGCTTTCTATCTATCTTATGAATATCTAAAACTATTYTTTATTTTAGAAAATTTACAAGTAATTTAAATTTGTTAAAAGCAATTTTTAAAATTTGAACCAAATAGTACCAAGTTTTTTTCCAAAAAAAAAAAAACCTTTATTAATTTGTGAAATATTATTTACTAATTTAACTATCAAATAATTTAGAACATTTTATTAATATTTCTATTATTGGTCTGATTGGTGAAACAGATTGCGAACCAAAAGCAAATGGAGGGAACGTGTGCGTGGCATCTTTTGATTGGTCGTGCAGTGGGATCTGTGAATCCGTAGACAGGATAAAGGAGGTCCATAATTTATGTGGAGAAGGCAAGGGGGCAATATGGAACGTCGACGTTTAATGTATCTATTTAGAAGAGARAGGGGTTTGTTAAAGTTAAATAACCACAAAGAACACCTAATTGAGAATATGCAAAAATGATCCATTTTTGCTTTGCCTCTACACTCTCCTTTCTATTTTCATCAACAAATTAAATATTTATGACATGTCACTATTTTCTTTTACATTCTAATGAGACGAACTCAACAATATTTTCATTCTGCCGTAAAAATATCGGCAAAATAAATATTAAAAATATTAATAAAATATCACTAATATATGTCATACATATTAATAGTAAAGAAATTTTCACTTGTTTAGAATGAATGGTTTATTTGAAAAAAAATTAAAATGATATGTATTTTACCCTTAATTCGAAATATGTTTGAATTTTTACCAAATTTTAGAGTTCTTCTCATTCTCACAATTTTGTTTTATTACGTTGTTGACATTTTTTAAAAATACATTAGCTAAAATTTTAAAAACAAAAATACGTTTTGAAAAACTATTTTTTTTTAGTTTTCAAAACATTTTTAAAAATTGATAATTAACAAGACAAAGTAAGAAACAAAATAGAGAAACACGTGGGTGAAATTAGTATTCGTAGGTTTAATTTTTTAAAATAAAAAGCAAAAGGAAGAGTTGATTATTATTACCATAAATTATCACAGTTTACTGTTTTGCCTTATTTTAAGGAATGAGACAAAAGCAAGAGTAAGTTAAAATGTGTAGTAAATTACAAGTTATTAATTAGGTATAAGGCTATATAATGTTGGAGTTGGGATGATCAGTTGGTGCTGACATTCTTTGCGTCAGTTTTAATTTCATTTCTCATTTCCTGATTTTCCGTTATTGTTCTGTTGAAGGCTCATCAATTTACGTAATTCATCTTTTCAACCATTGCTTCATTATTCTCTAAAATTCCCACAATTTAAACTCAAAAAGGACTCCATCTTCCTACGTTTCTACTCCCATCCCATCATCATTGTGGCACTTTAGTCTCTCCCTTTACAACTATTAAATAAAATAATTCGTCACACGAAACATAGCTCAATGGATTAAGGTATGGTTGTGAGTTCGAATCTCTACTCGTATATTGTTGTACTAAAAAAATAATAATAACAACAAAATAAAATAGTTACGAGGGCGCATTTTGGTTAAAGTTAGAATATATGTTTCATATGTGTCCACTAAAATTAAAACGGTTGGGATAACACGATATTTATCATCTTCAAATTAGAGCAATTCAACTGGAACATGATTACCAACTTCCTCCTCCATGTGAAATAAACGATATTTAAATAATAATAGAAGGAAAGACAAAGTAAGGCAATAGAAAAACTAATACCACARCGTTTATATTGGTTCATTCCAAGTTTGGGGACTACGTCATGTATTTTGCAACTGCGAGTTCTATAATATAAAGATTACAATGAGATCTCTCAACGCTATACAAAACTCTCTCTTACAATATATAACTACAGTAGCTACCTGCCTCTCTAGGGAACCACAACATAAAGGTTTTCGRAACTCTTTGTCGTATATCTCTAACAATCCTAGAAAAGAACCGYTGTTGTATATCTCTTTCACTTCTACCTGSCGACTAGCARTTGGCGACTCACACCTAAAGAAAGGGGAAACCTCATCTAAATAGGAAACGCCTAGTGCTTTTCTAGCTACATGAGCTTGCACCATGACCCTATAATTAAGCATCAGGTCGCTCCAAAATTAGAAGACACTTCAAAACAACCTTTCTAAAAGTCTTCGTGATGATTTGGGCTCCACAAAACTCAACAATCTCTTCCTAATTAATTTCCACAACGACATTGTCACCCCTAAGTTTAAGCTCTCGTAATTTTGCTTTTAGGCGAACAAAAAATGCATTCTCACTTATGTACAAATATCTTACCCTTATTTAACTAATATGGAACTTTTGTTGCATCACAACAAAAAATTTATTTAAAATTTTTTTTATATATGTAATATTTTAATTTTAAAAATTAAGGTGGACAAATTTAAATGAAAGAAAAACTACGGAATCTTAACTATTTTGTATATACGACTTTTTAAATTTACGATAAGCTTATAGAGCGGTGGCAATTATTTTGTTTGTTTATTTATTTATTTCTTTTGGCTTCGCCTCTCAATACATGTAGATTTGTTTTTTTTATTTTATAAAAAATTATTGTTATACATAGGTTTTAATTTACTTTGATAGTTAGTACACACATTAATAACTTTTCTAATAAGTTGTAAAATTCGAACTTTCACCTTTCTTATTTGAGTTGTAATAATCTAAAAGATCGCGYAAAMTATATAAAAGATTAAAAAAAAGTTAACGTATTATTTGTTTAATATATGAAAAATAAAATATACATTAAATTTGATTAGAATATATAATAATATTTTTCTAAAGAAATTATTAATTAAAAATTTTAAGAAATGATAAAATAATTTTAATAGTATTGTCGAGCCAAAACTTTTTTGAATAATCATTTTGTAAAATAAATATTTAATTTTTTTTATAATTACTTCATTTTTTTTTAATACAAGACGTGGGGGTGGAGTTCAAACTCTTAATCTGTTGATCAGAGATAGGTCCCTTAACCACTTGAGCTATGTTCGATTTGACTTTTTATAATTACTTAATAAACATTCAACAAACTATATAAATAATTGTATAGTATTTTTCCCGCACAAATTTATCTACCTATAAGTGTTTCTATAATTGGGAAGTCAAAAAAATAAAAAATAAAAACTGTTCTATAATTGTACTAAAAAAAACTGTTCTATAAAATTTCGCTGTAATATGAAACTTGAAACTAAGGTTCTCGTTTCATAATAATTTTACTTTTTAATTTTCTATTTTCAAAAATTATGCTCTTCTTACAAACTTTTGGTATATTTCTCACCTCTCTCTTGGATTAATGTTAGAATTCTTAATCACATCTCAAAAATAAAAACTTGTAAATTAAAAACTACTTTTCTTTTTAGCTTTCAACATTTAGCTTAAATTTTTAAAATGTTTAAAAAAAAAATTAGATAACAAACAAATTAACACAAATATTTAAAATTAGCTTGATTAATTTTCAAAAACTAAAAAAAAAAAAGAGTTATCTAATGAGGCTCTAAAAAACTAGGTTTAATCAAGAGATGAGTGATTTACGATCACGTCTTTGCTTTTGATTTCAAACAAAATGTCTCATATCAATCAAGATACTTATCTTCACCTATATACCATGATTCTCTCCATTCTCTAATTAATATAAGACGCCGTTTGTACTCTTTGCAATCCTAACCCTCTTTATTTAAATAAAACAGTATATGAGAATGAGGGAAGAACTCAATTAATAGACTAATTTTCACAATCATTTCTAGACATTATTAGATAGCTTACATACCTCATGATATATTACTCACTTGAATTCAATTTTAGTTACACGTTTTAYGCATAAAATATCTCATACCGCATAAAATATCTCATACCAGTAGAGACGTTATTTGTACTTAGATACTCGGAATCTTCCTCTCTTCTAATYGAGATAAGACGTCGTTTGGATCCGTCCCGAGTAACGGAAGAGTTTGATTGGGGGGAGAGCCGCAGAAGAAAAACTAGAGTTGACAAATTAAGGAGAAGGCATGGTAGGGGCACGAGGGGATAAAGCGTGGAATTGAATCAACCCAAAAAATGAGTGGCAAAATCGAGGATATACCATAAGTTCTCCTCTGTCACATGTGCAATCCCGACTGAATAGTGAATAATATTGCTGCCCCTTCCACTTTTTTTAATTSTAATTCGCTTCGAGCTGGTTTGATAGATTTTCATTTATATTGGAACATATTAGAAATAGGAACAAGAAATAAGTGTSAATTTTTTCTAAATGCATTTCAAAATCACATTTGGCTATGAAAGAGGTAGTTCTTGTCTATTATAAACTTTTGTAAAGTTCATTTTCTTTTCAATATAAGATCCTTAACATGAYCCMTCAAGATCGTGACTATTTTGATTTATTAGTCTTGGTCGGATCTCATTTTTAGACTGGATGCTCGTTTGAGCTTTTTAAACTCTAATACTATATCAAGAAAGAAGGAAATAATTTAAGAAGAATTTTTTATTTATTTTATGTATTTGAACACTGTAAGCTCTCACCTTTTAACTTGTTTTTGGTACTTTCAAAACTATATTATACAATTTTGAGAATGTTTAAAAAAAAATTGAGAAACAATAAGTCTAAATATAGTTGTCAAATGCTTAAATTTCTTAATAAGAGTAGAAACGAGAAACAAGAAATGGATTCGCTTCCTCTTTCTTTCKGCTTTCTATATTTTTTTAATATAAAGTATCCATATGAAAATAATACTTGCGAATATCCCAAGGCCAATATCATAATATAAAAAAAAAATATATAATATAATATAGATAACATTGCTTTTGGAGCAATCTAATGCGCCTAATATCCCATATTTTATTACTCTCATTTTCCTCTCTCGGGATCGTTTATTGCCTTTTTTTTTTAATTATAAATCATATCAATCGTCTCCATTTCCTTTCAAATTGCAAACCCTAATAATATTATACCCCCAGTCGGTCCAACTCCTGCATATAYATCCGTTTTGAACCACCTGGCGCGTGCGCCTACTCTCCTCCCTATATGCATGCAATTTCTCCACTCGCCTTAATTTTCAATTATCGTCCAACTCCATCGTTAAATTATTTTGCTCATTCTTTTCAAGTAGAATGTTAAAACTCTRGGTAAAAGCGAGTATAGTTCAACGATAATTGACATGTATCTCCGATTAAAAAGTTGTGAATTCGATCCCATACTCCATATGTTATACTAAAATATATGTGTGTTAAAACCCTCCCTCCACATACTCGTACATACGCAAGAGATCATTGCTTGGTGGAGTTGCATTCTTTGTTGCTTGAACTCAAGATCTCAAAGGTATTCTTTGAAGCCCCAAAYCACCCAAGCTATCCCTTGAGGATAATTTAAGTACTTTCAATTTTGATTCATTTTTGTCTTTGTACTTTCAAAATATTGATCATTTCGGTCCTTGTACTCTAAAAAGGTGACAATTTTAGTCCCTTAATTTTATTCTTAATCTCATTTTTCTATCACAATTTCAACATGACACTAAATTCAATCTATTTCTTAAAAGGTAAACATTATTTTATACATTTATGTTACGTGTAAAGTTTGTGTTAAAATTTTGTAAARAGGGACTAAAGTGATCACTTTTTACAAGTACATGGACCAAAACGAGCATCTTCAAAGTATAAAGATTAAAACGAACCAATGTTCAAAGTACAGGAACCAAAATAAACATTTTCAAAATACGGGAACTAAAATAAACCAAGATTGAAAGTATATGGACCAAAATAGTATTTTAACCYTACCTAATTTCATAGATTAAACTCTGAGCTTAATTTTTCAGTTTGAGTCAATTACAATACTAAATTAATCCACCTGTCTCAACTTATTCCATATTGGAATTTTGAAGGCGTTTATATTTTATATTAAGAAACAGGGGAAGAACATAGCGAGATATACATGATAATGAAGATCCTCTACATCATATAAAGTAATGATACTAGCTTGCACTTTTATTGATCGTGGGAACAATTATACTCACCACAATCTAAAATGCTACTTTTCAATTAAATTCATGCTTTAAAACATAACATTTTTTTAAGTACAACTTTAAAACATAACATTAATTCATGTTTTTCAACTAACATGATTTTCAAACCCTAATCATAAACATGATTGTTGATGCGTGGATTTTGGTCCTCCGGTTCTCCTCTTCGCACACACCTAACTTGATTATTTGGGACTAATACCTGAAAAACCAAATCGAACTAGATCGGTGTGACTTTAGTCACATGGGCTGACGGACTCCGATGTCTAAGTTAGCAAGAGAAAGCTGAGAAAGTAGTAAACTTCATATGTTCCCTTACCTCTAGGATTGGACCGCTACTTATAGCCGTGAAGTTAATTCCAGAACCTTCTGTAGCTAAACCCTAATTCATAGCGTTGCAGGGCCTGAGTGAAATCATTTGATCACGGACGGGAGACTCGCAGACTGGGCTTTTGGTATAATATTATTGTCCGCTTTGGGCATATCCTTTATGACTTTACTTTTGGTTCTACCCAAAAGACCACGTAACAATGAAGATAATTGTCTTATCTTATATATCAACTCATTTCCTAACCAATGTGGTACTTTATTTGCATTTCCCTTATAAACCTTATAATATATGTTTATTTTCTAAAAGTTATTTTAATATATTATTAACATTTCATTTAAACACACATTTGAATTTTTAACCTTTAAAAAAAAAACTACTTTAGTTTTCACGGTTCGACTTACATTATGAAAACGATTTTAAAAAGTAAATCACAATACAAATAAACACGTGGGTGGGAGTAGTATTTGTAATCTTAATTTTCACAAACAAAATACGTATCAAATAGGAAGCATAGAGGCTAAAGCTTATAATTTAACATAAACCTAAGAATATAACAAGAATTTACTAATCACAATGCCAATATAATATTTCACGTCATTTGATAATCATTCTTTTGTGCTTAGGATCAAACCACCAACCTTCGAGATAATTACAACTAATTACCATTAAGGATCCCGCATTGATATAAGAAGAAACTTTACATAGGTTTATAATAGACATGGACTACTCATCTCATTAATAAGTGATTTTGAGATGGAACTCATGATTATTAATATATGGTATCAGAATCCAAAATGTTCACACGAGCAACCGGTCCAAAAATGAGATTCGGTTATCCTACATTGATAAAATGAGGGACCTTACATAAATTTATAATAGACATGGGCTACTCTTCTCACTGCCAATTGGTTTTGAGATGGAACATCATGAATATTAATAATTACAACTATCTTATTTGTTGAGATATATTTGAATTGGTCGGAATATAATTAGCCTTAACCATTTAAATTATGCCATTGTCAAAATCACTTCCCTTTCCATTGATCATGTTTGGCAAATTAAAAAATTGATTTTAGGTAAGTTTAAAGGTGTGTTTGGGAGTGATTTTGGCATGGCCGAAATCACTTTTGCCATGTCAAAATCATTTTTCTTTTCATTAATGATGTTTGACAAATTAAAAAATTGATCTTAGGAAAACTTGAAATCACTTAAAGTTGATTTTTAAGGTATGATCACTTAGATGGTGATTTTGAAAAATCAATTATACTTAAATCTCTTTTCTCAAAATCGTTAATTCTACCATCACTCCCAAACACGCTCTAAATCACTCTAGATTGATTTTCAAGATATCATTTGGATGATAATTTTGAAAAATCAATTATATTTAAATCTCTTTTTTCAAAATCACTCATTCTACCAATCATTCCCAAACATACCCTAAGTTGACATTTAACCCATTATTACGAAAGTCGACTCACTAGAAAAGGAGTAAGATATATTTATTAATATTCATGAAATTTGATCTCAAAGTCAATTGGGAAAGAGAGGAGTAGCCCACTTATATCATAAACTTTTGTTAAATCTCTTATCTTTTCATGGTATCCCATGCAATAATTTTTTTTTATTACCCAGGATCGGCGACCCTTTGGCCATTCTGTCCCTGTACCTGGGGGTATGTGCAGTGTCCCCATATCCATACATACGCAAGGTGGTAAAGTTGCATTCTATGTGACTTGAACTCAAGACTTCAAGGATATTGCTTTCAGCCCTAAACCACCCAAACTATCCCTTGGAGACCCCTATTCAATAATCTTAACCGATGAGCTATTGTCGTATCCACCGTAATTAAATATATATATAGATAAAGTTGATTAAAATGATATTGAGAGAGTGGGGTTGGTGTGCCACGCTCCTAAAGTGGAGGGTGAAGAGACAGTAGAGCACATAAAATAGAATACAGTTCGTTATGGAGTAAACTACAGCTAGCAAATGAGAAACCATCTCCCCTCTCATTTTTCCCTATGCTTCCATTTTACGATAGCCTTCTTTAACCGTCTCCGCCGCCGTAGTCTCCGCCGTCAACGTTTCCCTTTTGCAATTATAACCTCCCTCCCTCTCCCCCTTTTGACTTCTCATCCCATATTTATATCCCCCAATAATCTCCTCCTCCAAAACTTCTCTTTCAACTTTTCTTTCTACCAATCATTCCCAATTCCATACTACTACTACTCCTTGTACTCATCATTAGCATGTAAATGGGCTCCTCCGGCGGTGGCGTTCCCCCGGGCTTTCGGTTTCATCCGACCGACGAAGAGCTCCTCCACTACTACCTCAAGAAGAAGGTGTCGTTTCAAAAGTTCGACATGGAGGTCATCCGCGAGGTCGACCTAAACAAGATCGAACCTTGGGACTTGCAAGGTAATTACTATGTTACTTGATTGATTGTGTGTGTATATATCGAAGATATGGGTGGAGAAAAAAGGAAGGAACAATTACCCTAATTATACTTGGTCTTATATTAAACAAATTTTATAAGAATTTTCCTTTCTAAATTACCTTCTTTGAAAGATCATAGGTATAAAAGAGGTTGAAGGATTAAATTTTTTCCTAAAAATTTTGATGGGAAACTATGCAAATTTAAATATGATTATTACGCTTTTGTTTCTTATTTCCAACTTTTGAGGAATATAGACGTTTGGTAACTATTCTTGTTTCTTCATTTTCATGTTTAAGAAAATTTTCTAAAATTGTGTAGAATTTATAGAAACAAAAATTAAGTTTCTTGTTTTAGTTTCCAATTTTTTTTCAAAACATAAATAAAATTATTGTTTTACCATTATGGACTTACAAAATGCATAATAGATATAAGATAAAAATTTTGAATATTTAATTTAAAAAATTAAATTTCATTAAAATTTTACCAAACGAAATAATAAATAGTTACCAAAAGAAATAATTGCCATACACCGTTCTATTTCTATTTACTAGGAAAAGTGAACAAGAAACACCCGTTTTTGTTTATGGTGTATGTTCCCTTTTTTTTTTTTTTAAAGAAAAACAGAATTGCATGACCTTAACATCCCTAGATTCAAGAATGATAAAACAAAACTTTTATTTATACTAGAACAAATTGGAATAAGAAATAAGAAATTTGTTTGGAAAAATACCTATACAATTTTGAGAATATTCTAAAAAAGAAGAAATAATAAACCTAAATAATTTGTCAAAGATGTAGATTTCTTAATAAAATTAAAAATGAAAAACAAGAAACGGAAACAATACCAAACGAACTGTCACTCAATCGTATCTAAGTAGGATAAATTAGTTAAAATGATGAGAGGGTGGAACTCGTTTTATAGTATATTTAATTTATTACGATATTAATTATCGGCAGTAACGTAAAGAAACTGCTGCTGCTTCTGCTCATGAGTTCAATTTTGGACTACTTTCTTGCATAAATTATATTTGGCTCTACACTAATTTTCTTGTAATATGTGCATTGCATCTCAAATCTTCCCATTTCTCTATGCTTTTGCTGAATTTCTGATTGCTAGTTTTTGACTTTTTTTTTTTCCTTTTCCTTTTGAAAATGAAACTCTCTCCATGAAAACTCGAGAAAGATGACATAATTGGGCTAAAATTTAGATGTGAAAATGTGTATAAATTAATAGTTTTTAAGTTGAAATTAAACCAATTCGAATTATTTTTAAGTGTGGTCAAAGAGAAGTTGTGAATTCCAATGCCTTTTTAATGGGTGGAGTTGATGAAATATATATAAATTTAACCCTCATGGTAGTGAGTTTTTTTTTTTAATTAATTATGAATAATTGTCTAGCCAAAGCCAATTATGCAGAATTATTCTAGTAATTTACACATTTAATTGTAGGTTTTCCATGAATGAACTAAAAACTATCAAGTTTCAATTTTACTTTTAATTAAACTTAAAAATTTTAAATATACCACTCAACCTTTCAATTACTCAAAATCACATCTTTGAATTCTAACTTTAAAATTTTGGGCAAATTTATATTTCAGTCTGTAATGTTGGAGTTGAGTTTTTTTTTTTTAAATTTTTTTTTAAATTATCATTTACAGAGTCTCAATTAGATCACTTATATCATTTTGTGTTGATAAATTGTTAAAGTTAGCTAATGATAAACTTTTATAAATATAACTGACATAAATTAATTTAGTAGAAAAAAAACGTCACATAAGAGGATAGTTTTCTAATTTCTCCTCTATATATATATATAGAAATTTCGAGTTTTCTTTCTTTGATAAATTTTTTTTCATAAAATTTTCAAAAATCCATTGAACATTATGCAGTAAACTTATCATCGGTCAATTTTAACACATTTATCAACAGTGAAAGAGAAAATTAGAAAAAAACATCTCTAACATTAAAAACTAAAATATAATATTTAATTATCAAAGCGAGTATAACTCAACAATAATTAGTATATATATCTCAAWCAAAAATATTGTAAGTTCAATCTCCCACCCCATGTTTATTTTAAACTCACRCMCCATATGTTGTACTAAAAAAATAATATTTAACCTAAAATTTAGAAACATTAAATGATATTCATAATTATCTTGAACCAATGCACATACATATATGTRTATACTTACCTTATTTTCTAATTACAATTTTATCTTCAACTCAATATACTTACTTAAACACAGGCAATAAGAGAGGGTTAGTTTAAGTATAACATATGGGAAAATTGCAATAATAAATAGGCATTTTCTGTTTTGTAGTCACCRTTTTTCAAAACCTATATTTTCTAATACTGGGTGGATACCAAATGACTATTCCTACTCCTCTACTCTCTACTCTCTCCTCTGTCTCTCCCTCTCCTGTCTGTCTCTCTCTCTCCCTCGCTCTGTTTCTCTCTCTCCTCTCTCCTCTCTCTCTTCTATTTCTCCCGCTCTCATTCTTGCTATCAATCTCTCCCTCTCGCTCTAAAACATGGGTTGGTATCTAGGTGATGTTAGCAAAAACTTAGAAAATATTAGTGAAATGACAATGAAGTCGTTTGATATCTAAGCTTAGAAAACATAGRTTTTGAAAAAGGKAGCTAAAACAATACTCATTGTGTAAGAAGTTTTATTCGATTTTTTCTAACAAATATGGAGTATGAAAATTTGAACATCTGATCTATAGATGTTATTTACCAATTKAATGGTCGAATAGGATGCCTATGTTGACAATTTTATATTGAAATTATTATATATAATATGAGACGTCTTCAATTTTTGGTTGTGATCCGTGAGAATTTATAATCAAGAGTGTTAAAGTTATATACTATGAACAGAGAAATGCAGGATTGGGTCGACGCCACAAAACGAGTGGTACTTTTTCAGCCACAAGGACAGGAAGTACCCAACAGGATCAAGAACCAACAGAGCTACCAACGCCGGCTTCTGGAAGGCCACCGGCCGTGACAAGTGCATCCGAAACTCCTACAAGAAGATCGGCATGCGAAAAACCCTCGTCTTTTATCGGGGCCGAGCTCCTCATGGCCAGAAGACTGATTGGATCATGCACGAATATCGCCTCGAAGATGCTGACGACCCTCAAACCAACAACACTGTAAGCACCGCCTCTCATTACTCTCTCCACTTCACGTTCACTTCAACTTCAACGTGAATATATGTTTTAGTTTCTAATCTCGGTGTCTTTTATTTGAATTTTGAGGAAAGTTTGACTTTTACCTTTAAACTTGGGTAGTGAGATAATTATAACCATAGATATTCAACTTAAACAATTTATACTCTTTTAACTTGGAGAATAAAGTATAGTAATCTATCTAATCTATTAAGGCTGAATAAATGGTGCAATTATAACTAGAGAGCTATGAGTAGGTTTTTTTAGTGTAATATGTGAGCGTTGGGGTATCGAACTCATAACTTCTTAGTTAGAGATATATGTCAATTACCGCTGAGTTAGRCTCGCTTTGACATTTATGATTAGTTTTTACGATCAAAACGAGACTACTTTTGCTGGTATTGATGTTTTCGTTGTATTCAATGATCTTAATTATAGTTGAGTTTTGAGCCTTTTGTATTGCCTTATCTCGTGGCTAGGTTCAAGGATTTCTGAGTCTAGATATTTTTTTAAAATGATGTGTGCTTCTTTAACTAAATATATGATTTTATTGGTTTATTTTGACAATCTTTTAATTCTCAAAATGAGTTTAGTCCAACGGTAGTTAACATCTGAATAACGTCTCTCTTATCCTAATATTGTCATTTTGTCATCCAAGATTAACATTTGGTGACAATAAAAACTTAGCCCAAAAAATATGAATTCTATCTCAATTCTTTGTCATGCAGGAAGATGGGTGGGTGGTTTGCAGAGTTTTTAAGAAGAAAAATTTGTTCAAAGTCTCAAATCACGAAGGAGGAGGGTCCAGTGTAAACTCCGACCAGAACCTAAACAACAACAGTTCATCAGCTTCAATCGCCATGGCGGCTCGCACCTTCATGCACAGAGATTCCCAATACCAACTCCGGCTGCCGCAGAGCTACGGCGGCGCTTCCCAACCGGCGTTCGAGCTCAACAAATCCGACCTCGCTCTCCACTACATGCCTGCCGCCGCACCCTCCTCCCACTACCCCCACCACCTCTTCCAGCCTCAGATCTCCGCCATCACCCACAAGCCTCTCGGCGGTGGCTACGAGTTCCCAGCCCTGTCCCTGCCCCCGGATGCACCGCTCATGGTGAAGCAGCTCATGGCAAACCCGGAGAGCGGGCAAGCGGGGGATGGGATGAACGAATCGTGGGCGGTGTTGGATCGACTCGTCACGTCTCATCTGGGGAACGAGGATGAGAACGAGAATGAGAACGGATCGTCGTCGGTTGGCCAGATTAATCAGCTGCCGTTGAGGGGAGAGATGGACTTTTGGGGGTACACTAAGTAATAGAAAAATGAACTTTTATGTGCCTCTTATTGAAAGAGGCTGTTGTGAAATGCATATATATGCATTGCGTAGGGATGAATTTATTTGTTGTGGGTGTCATTTTTACTTGATTGATATTATTATGCAAATTGTTGGATAAATATTCTTAATAATATTTGCGTCTCTGATGATCTGGTTGTAACAAAATGGTATGAAATGAAGCTGTGAGAGAGTTTCTTCCCAACTTGAAAATATTATGTCTTTTAAATTTTCCTCCTTAGTGGCATTAATGATCCACAGAGGGAAATCATTTCCCCAAATAAAAGAATCAGAAAAAAATGCAAGAGCTTGGTTTGCAACTTTGTGTGTGCAATAGATTTTTGAAACTTTTTGTTACTAGATGGAAACTTTCCGAATGGAGCTTTGATTTCGTAAATTATAGAATTGAGATGAAATCAGTCTTTACATCGGTTTGACTTGTTGAAAAAATTTAAAAATTCGAATTATGATTATTATAAAATAGAAACCATACCATTCAAGAATAATAAAGAATAAGGATCGAAGTGTTATGGAAGAAATAAAGCGAACTTGACAGGCAAAGTGTTAAAGGATCACACATTGATAAGATAAGGACCTAACAATGGTTTATAATAGACACGAACTACTCTTCTTATAGCCAATTAGCTTTGAGATGTAATCTCATAAATTTTAATATGGTATCAGAACCCAGAACGAGTCACAATCTCATATAGCATCTCGACGTTGTTGCACAATTTTTTTTTTTTTATAAGAATAGGGTTGTTTAGCCGCCAAGGAGGAACAATTTTAGAGAGATTTTTTGGTAGTTTACATTTTTGACCAATTTTTAGGGCAAGGAGACCATTGAAGAGTTTAGAAAAGAGATTTTCAAGGCTCGAGATTGTGAATGTTGCTTTGGAGACGGACAATTGACATGCTGAATTTAGTTTCTTCCAATTTCCCTTATTCTTTTATAGTTTTGTTATGAAATTCTCGTTGAGATTTTATTGTTTTACATTGAATATGAATAACTTAGTCTTTTATATTAGGGATTGATGTAGCCATTGAATCTTATGGATTGATTGTTTAATTCTCTTGATTGAATGATTACGAATGTTTTATATATGCATCTGTATGCTTAATTCCTTTAATCTACTAGCCATTGATTAATCTTAGACTTGAAATCTTACACGGGAGAGGTGGTTCAGAGTTAGAACTTGGATGCATAACTAAAGGGGTTTTAAGATCAGGAGATTTAGAAGTTTTTTTTGAGATTGTTAAAAGACTTATTCAATAAAGCCTTAACTTGTTTTAGAAATTAAATAGGGATATTGGTTTCTTAATTAGTAAGGAGATTTAGCTTGCGCTCGAGAGAGGCAGTTGAGATTTAATATTTCTTGGCCTATACAATTAATAACTCATTCATTCTTGGGTAATTCATTAAATTGGTTCATAGATTCAATAGGTGAAATGAATTAGGGTATCTTTCTCCTTGTTGTTTTTATCTTAATTTTAGTGCATGTTTATTTGTTTTTATTCTATTCCCCCATTTGATTTTTGATTCTCTAAATAAATTTTAGTGATCGTATCTATGGTACTTGATTGGGCTAGAAACCCGATCTAGARGACGATATCGGTATTCACTTACCAATTATATTAAAACTTGACCCAAACATTTGCGTAAGCAATTTCTACTACACCAACCTAACCAAATTTACACATCAACATTTGACGCTGTCTGTGGAAAACAACTAAAATCCAAAGCCAAACGGTTACCGACATAAATATTGGAATGAGCAATCAACATGAAGATAAGGAAGGCTCAATGATGAGTGCCATCGGAGGAGAAGGGTGAGCTGAGAACTGGTCTTACCCACTAAAGTTTTGAGAGAAATTAGTCGACCTATCATAGATCAGGAAGAGCAACATGCCCAAGAACGAGAGCGATAATAGGGTAAATTAGCTATTTTGGAATAAAGAGTTGAGGGAATGCATCAGAACTTATCCCTCATTTTGAACATCCTATAACAACAAGATCTAAGGCAACCCTCATTGCTCTGAGATCCATTAAAAGGCTAAGCTCCRGTGATTGATGATATTGTTGAGTCAAAGACTGACCTGCAAAACCTTAGCAAACTAAAGGTAGGTGGTGACGATAAGCCACAAACATACTAAAGATGGAGTTTTCAGTCGCCAGACGCATTTTTTTGCTCATTTTATGCAAACTGGTTCGACTCCTATTTCATACCACTTTTTGTTTATCTAGAATTTACCTTAACGAATTCCGTTTGACTTTAGCCTTTTCAGAATTAAATTCAAACTAATGTGATTTAAACAAGTGACCAACAAGTAAATCAACTGGATGAATTATTTTAGCAAAAATTGCTTACTGCARGTGTACAGGTCAAGTTTTAATAAGATGGTAAGTAATTACTGATATAATTCACATGATTAGGTTTCTAGCCACTCAAGTACTACAGATATTAATGTCCAATTTTATCTAAAGAAACAACAAGAAATTTCTTTTCAACACAAAGACCAAATAGCAATGTGAGTAATAGACTTTAAGGAAAATTTTTATGGAGAATRGGTCCTAGGGAATTGACTTCACCAACTGAACTTACAAGTTGACAAATTAAACATGTCAAGATTGAATAAGCAATTAATATATAAGCAAGAATTCCTGAATCAYAACCAATGAGAAGTTCCCGACCCAATCTCCACTATCTCGAGAAAATAGTATCCTCACCCTCAACCCTTGGTCTCTCGAACTGATCCTCTAAATTCTCAAAATCTCCAACAAAAAYTGTCCCCCACTCCCTCGAAAACAGTGCCGAAACCCTTTATTTATGAAAGGGCATCGTTACAGCATCATAGCCTCATTAGTGAGYGCCATGGTGCTGTAYTAAAATTGACAAACGTGTAAAGTTCATAGTGCCATGGCACTACAAGACAGCRCTGTGACACTGTCATCATGGAAAAAGACCCAACTTTCATCTACAGGCGCCATGGCCCTGTGTGATGGCGCTGTGGCAKTGCTTCTTTGGATTTTTGCTCCCATCTTTGAACTATAGGYGCCATGGCGCTAAGTGATGGCATTGTTTTTATTGAATTAAGTGAATTAAGCTTTCTTTGACTCTAATTTTCCTCTCAATTGATCAGTTATGCTCCAATTCTTTCTAATGGCTCGATCGTGTAAAAATATAAGTTATGTACGTAAATATGCCATGAACAACCAAAAATTGCCAAATAATTTCCACCTAAATGTCATGAAATGTGACTTATAAAGTACACTATCAAAACACCAGTGAAGAAGTCTRGAGGGTACCCGCGACGCGATCACCGAGTGTTCATTTAAGTCGCGTTGTAGGCGGTCACCGAGTGTACATATGCTTTGACAAACATAAGCATAAAACTGACAAGCTGAATATAGGTGTAAATAACATCTCAAAATTTTCTCACACCTAAATCATGTTCTTCTCTGAATATCTCATAACTTTACATAATAACTTCCCTTGCAAAACCTTTTCATCTTTTCAATATCCAAGAAAACCAGTAAAGTCAATCACACATCATATGAGATGATTCCAGATATCAATCGAGAGAATAAGCATTGAACAATATTAATTTATAAAAACTCAAGCATCTCATTGAATTATTGAAATTAAAAGCAAAGACTTGACACCCTCACAGAATTGCACTCAAATATCTCAAAGTGTTTTCAGGTTGCTTTTACTCTCAAAGTCAAAGCCTAACACATTATCGCCACAAGCTTGCAAATGAATCAAATCTCTCCACTCAAATATGAATTAAATGCACAAAATCAAATGAACTTTAATAAAGGTTGTAACAGAGCTTAATGAGAATTTAAGAGGCTCAAAATCACGACAATGGAGAGGTAACATCAATTGATTGTTCTCCAAAAATCTTCTCCTTAATAGTCAACAAATTATATTTTTTTTCTTCTATATTTTTTCATTTTTTTTTTCATTCTTTCTTTTTCTCTTTCTTTTTCTACTTTCAAAATGGCTTAAACAAATGGATGTTAGATCATGCAATTTTTTCTCTCCCTTGTCTTCACACCGGTAAAACTATCGATGATAATAATCGAAACAGGACATAGGGTTAAAAATGATGTGTAATCCAAGAAAAAATGAAAAATTAGGCTCAAAAGTGGCTTTCTAAAGAAGATATAAAAAGGTCGACTCTTTAGAAATAAAAAATTTTGGGTAAGCCTAAATTGCCCTTATCATATTGAGACATCAATTCAAACAAGTGGTCACAAAATGCAATCACAAGCAAGTTCTAGAATAATTATGCTAAGTTCGACTACACACAAGAATGAAAACATATTGAGCAGGATGTAATGTATTGCTCTTAGGCTCAAAAAGCTCACTGGGTGTGTAAATTGCATCAAGTCAATAGTTATTTAAAAAAAAAATCAACTGAGATACCATCATTTAATTTTTAAATAAAAACCGACCAAACTTATCTCTTTCATGTAGAAGAAAACAACCAAAAGATGATTTCATAATGCACCAAATAGTCAAGGGTATTAATCAGAATTCAAAGTTAAAAAAAAAAGAAATCAACATATATGAATCAGATTAAACATATCATCTAAAAATAATTATTACAAACTAGATTCCACCACCCCAGACTTAGAAGTTAGATTGTCCCAATGTAAATAATAATAATAATAAAAATAGGGAATACAGTCCAAACAAAAATATGGAGAGGTTATAAGGAAATCGCCTTGTATGGTGATGCAGCATCATTGGTCCTCGTCCTTCGTGAATGAATCATAAAATTGTGGAAGTGGCGGAAGAGGTTGCGCTGATTGTTGAGCCTGAAAGCATTGCACGAGGTAGTCAAATTGTGGCTGATTCTTTACTTGAAATCAATGAAACTCGCCTGACAGAAGACAAACACCCTCCTCGAGTGATCGGTGGGTGGGAGGCGGTGGAGGTGGATTGACATGAACTGCCGGTTGTTCTTCCACAGTCTTGTCAATCTCCATAAAGGGTTCTGACCCACGCATAGACATAATKTAATTCTTGTCCATAACACTTTTGAGACCCAATATTGTCTACATGGGGTCCCAAACAACACCAACCTTTTTACAGAGGTCAGTTATCAACTTGGCGTGGGGAAGACCACTTGTCGTGCTACCACGTCTAGCAT